CCAACCCTGGCAGTGTTCACAGCCAGGTTGGATGAGCCTTGAGCAACTGCTCTGGTGGGAGGTGTCCCTGCCCAGGGCAGGGGTTGGGGCTGGAGGATCTCTAAAATCCATCCCAACCCCTGAACATTCTGTGATCCTGTGATCACTGCTGGCTCACACCAGCTCTGTGTCCTCTCTCTCCCCTGGAGGAACCCCCAGACAGTCCCTGTGGCCTCTGTGTTGGTCCCAAGGCAGAATGAAACCAAGAAAATGCAAAACATTTATTCGAGTGTGTTGTACAAAAAGTTTCCAGTCATAAAATGTATATTACAAATCATTGAAAAAGACAAGACATTTGGCATGCATATCCTAAAGAGAAAAGAAACCACTTTGAAATGATAAAGTCTAGGTAATGATGGAGTTTTTCTAAGTTCCAAGCAAACATTTTCATCATGTTTTGTGTCTCAGTTCACAAATTTTGCCACCTTGCCTTAATTTAAAACCTTCAGCCTTCCCAGAACTCTCCTGCAGGACTGGCTGGAGGTGCTCCCTGCCCTGGGCAGAGTCCTCCAGCCACAGCCCAGTCAAGACTGTTAAAAACCTTAAGAAATTGAGAAATAAAGATCACAATTCAGGTCACCACTGCTATGAGGAGAAGAGTTCAGCTGGATTTGTGCCCAAATTCAAAGCATTTTGGCTTCAACTTGGCTTAGAATAGGATTATTGCTTGTCTTTTGAGTGGCATGGTCTGTGCACTGAATACAGTGACATCTGCTCAGCAACACTTGTCACTCCAGGAACAGCTAACTGGAAGATTTGGAGGTTCACTAAAACACAAGTTGTTTTCCTGTGCTCTCCTGGCTGCAGTGTCCAACATCCCTGTCACTCTAGACCTTAGCATTTCAAGAAAGGCATTGTTTACAAGTAATAATTGCATGTAAATATGGTCTTGTATAAAAAAAAAACCAAAACAGACACCTTTAAAATCATTTTTTTAAACTGGTTTAAAGCTAAGCATATTGAAGGGCAAATAAAATTCTGTTTCCCAGGCCATTTGAAATAAGCAAAGAATCTTTTCCAATCGAATTTGTCCTGACCTGCAGCTCAGTGCTTAGAGAAATGCAATCACTCTCTCACCTTCCCCTCACTGGGTCACACCGAGGCTTTGCCTCCTGCTCACACAGGGCTTGGACCCAACCGTGTCACACGTGGACATGTCTTTGTTCAGAGTTAAGACTTCCAAAAGAAGAAACAGAGAGGAGAGTTAAGACACAGAGCTAACACTGAGGGTGTGAGAGAAGTGGCTCCAAGAGATCTGGGACACAACACGGACCCAAAGCTCCTCACGCCCTGGGGCAGAGAGGATTTGTCCAGGTCTCTCCTGCAGTGAAAGGGCCTTTACAGAGCAGTAAAAACATTAAAAAGAAGCCAAAAGGGTGCTAAACCCCAGTAAGATCCCTGAACTGAGCACGAGCTGTCCCAGTGCTCTGGCACAGACACACTCAGTGATCTTTCACAGTACAGTTTGCTTCACACCACAGTGCAGCTCCCACACTCCTGGGTGGCTCTGGCAGCACAGGAAGGAGATGCTGATTTTGCCCTGAGGCTTTGGGGTTCTGCCACACACACAGATGTGCAGCCAAGCCCTGTCCCACGGCAGCAGAGCTGGGGACCAGGGAGCAAAGAGTCAGTGCTGACAGCGCTGCCAGAGCCAGGCCAGAGTGTGTGCTGGGAGTGCAGCTGTGAGGGGAAGGGAATGCCAGGGAATGCAGCTCTGAGAAGGGAATGCCAGGGAATCCAACAAGGGCAAACAGGAAACACAGCTGTGAAGGTAATCCCAGGAAATCCAGGGATCCCTGTCACTCTGCTCCTCGAAGTTAAGTCACTGCGAGGCAACAGCTAAAGAACAAATGTGGGAGTGAGGGAGAAAGCAGTGGCATCAAATTCCAGGGGCTCTGAGGATCACAGTCCCTATGGATGTGCAGATGGATAGACCTGTTCTGACACAAGTGTGTGTGGTGGGAGCTCAGGCAGGATGTGCTTATGGTATGATCTACACAGAGAAAGAACTTTTACTGTTTCATCCAGAATAAAGGGATTTTTCCAGAATAAGCACATCCACAGGGGTAGTTATGCTCAGGTAACTACTCTACTAACAGCCACACTGGTTCACTGCCCTCATCAGAGAAGCCTTAAGCCATTTTTTTTTCCTCCAGACCAGTCAAATCTTTCTCCTCCAAGCTCCACCCCAGGAATCAGCACTGGAGCAGAACTGACCTTCCTCCAACTTCCTGGTGCTTCACGCACAGATCAAAGAGAGAAAGGGGCAAAGAGATAGGGATTTTCTGCAAGAAAAAAAGCTTTAAATATCCTGAAAATGAGGGGGGGAAAAAGGAAAGAAAAAAAAAGGGCTTTTTGGTGTAGCAAAGCCCCCAAACTGCTCCCAGTGTGGTGCCCCAGCTCGAGGCTCAGCACCAGAGCACGAGGCAGGATGGTGCCTGGAGGAGGAGCACACACCCCCAAAGCACATGGAATACAGTAGTTCTTCTGTGTCTCGTCACCTCCAGCTAGGAGTTAGTTCTCACACTGTCAGTAGCCTGTGCTGGCAGAGTTGTTCACCCTCAGCCTGGTTTGTATGACCTGTACCTACCTAAACATGGTCCTGAAGGAGCAAATAAAACTGTTTCCAAAGCTACAGGACACAGTGCCAAGCCCAAGGACAGACACTGCAGGCTGAAGTGTTCACCACAAGAGATCTGCCAGCCCCAGCTCTTAAGGCTACAAGAAGACACATTCCCATACAGTAGCTGTTAAACTATGGCTCAGGTAGCAGAGGTTTTGCCTCATTTCAGCTGCCTTTCCAAGGCCATTCCTGCCAGGAAACAAACAAACATCACAACAACAACAACAACAAAAAAAAGCCAATGAACCACATGCTCATTGCTTCAGTATTTAAGATCAGAGAACAATCTTGAATGCACAGGACAAATCTTAAAAGGAATTAGCAATCTGCAAATTGGCCCAAAAATAAATACAGATCTTCAGGGGGAAGCAAAAAGGCCTCAAACTCTACGTCAGTATCTCGTGGGTCAGCAGTGCTGTGCAGTGGTTGGAAGGTGTGCTGCAAGAGTAGCTGGAACTGATTGCATTCTTTGCAGAACCACCAACTGAGAACAGGGAATTGGCAACAGATGTCTGAGAAACATAATTTCACTAGATACATCGTACAGAGATAAACATGATTTACTACATATTTAACCTTCTACTCAAGCAGAGTGGGACAATGACATTGGAGATGGCCAAGTCCATCACAGCAGTTCTTCCATCAGTCCAGTCCTGCTTTTGTGCCCTGAATCTTCTGCTCATGGGTTCAAACATCATTGTCAATGGTTAACTCCACTCATCCCACTCCAAGAGAGAAAAGAAGCACCTTGGATTTATTTTCAGATGGCAAAATAAATCCTGAAGCTCCAAGCCCCTTTTGTTCCCACCCTGCTTGCATGACAAAGCCATCAGAGCCACTAAACTGACCTTCTAGGTTATATCTGTCAGTCACAATACTGTTCAGAGAACATAATGTCCAAAAGCCACCGAAAACATCCAAACCTTTGTCTCTTGTTGAGTCTAAACTATTGGAATGACAAGATCAGAGTTCAAGAGTGCAGGTAAAACCAGGATCCTGGAACCAAATGGGGCCCAGATTCTGTCCCCAAAATAATCACTGGCTGGGGAATTGCTTGTGCAGAGGTCAGTGCAGTCCTTGGAGCAGTCAGGGATTTCTCCTTGTGCTCAAAGATGCACCACTAACCCTTTGGGAGTCAGAGCTACCTCCAGGGGAATGCAGCAGCAGAAACCTCGAGTTCAAGGGACACTGTCAGATGTGAAATCTATCATCCCATGGAAATAAAAATGGCAATAAAAATCACCTGATAATAGCACAAAACCTTAATAAAAATCACCCCTGCCCCTTCACTCCCTGTTAGGCTTTGCCTTTACAAAACCTTAATAAAAATCATCCCTGTCCCTTCACTCCCTGTTAGGCTTTGCCTTGAGCAGCACAGCAACTTGTCCTGAACAGCACAAGTTCTCTGAGCTGCTTAAAAAGTCCTTACACTATTTCTGCACCACTCAGGACACCTGACAACATCCCTGAACGTGAGAAGTCTGTTCAAGCTGCACTTAGCTCTGGCTCAAAAACTCACCAATTCCACAGGAAAACCTTTCAAATCCATTGCCAAAGGCAAAAACATGGTTTCACTTCTAAAATCCTCATCCACCTGCTTAAAGCTGATTGAGGCTTTCAGGCAGAACAGGTCAAAACCACTGAGTGCTCAGTACTGACCAGCACAACTTGTGCCCATGGTTTAACAAGGTCTCACTGGTGACAAGGCAAAACCCCCTGAAAACCAACCAGCTGCAGCTCAGGGTTTGGCACCTCCAGCTGAGGATGCTGCTGTTGTGCTCAGGAATTCAGGGCACAGAACCCACCAGTGTCCACGTTCTGCTGACACAGTGCTCAGAGGGTGACACAATCCGATGGCTTCACTGCTAGGTTGCCAAACCCTGGGGCAGGACATGCTCCTGAGGCAAAAAAATGCCTCAAATGCAGCTTCCCTGTGTCCCTGCCACGGTGGGACTGCACTTTGGATGACCTGAATTATCCCAAGTTGGGCCTTGCTGAGAGAAGACAGTGGAGGAAACACTGTGCAACTCTCTCAGGGCCTTCAGGTGAACACACCTGATTGTACCTCTTTTTCTGGAGGTGTTAGTCTGGTTATATCCCTGGCTATTCCTATGTTATCTCCTGGTTATTCTGCTTTGATTCTAGGTTTACCATACACTCAAGGAGCCTCATCTCATTGTAGCTACAAATTTCTTTATGTTTGTACATAAGACTTTAAACTCTGTATGGGGAAAAATATTGTATTCCAATACAGTGCTTCAACAAAGAGGGAAAAAATAAAGAGATCTCTTAAAAATTCTGGCAGTTTTGTTCACTAAAAGGGTTTTTTTTTAATGCATTTTTTTTATAAAAATGTACCAAGGAGTAAAACTTCAAAGAAATCAGATGATGCATATAAAAATAGTTTTCAGTGGCTCTGGAGGAGGGAAAAAATAGCAAAAATAAAAGGAAATAAATGAAGGGGGAAGAAAAGCACAAATAATAGTTTCTTCTTTTTTTTCTCACATCACTGCACATCCTCTGGAGGTTGTTCTGGGATCCCCCTGAAACAGGACACACACAGGTGAGTTCAGCTCTCAGCAGCTGTTCAGACTCTAGGCCTAACTCTGGTTTGTCCTTGGTAGTTAAAAGGAATTTTTTTGTCAGTTTCATGATGTTAAGGAACATCACAGCTCTGCAGAGGGCAGAGCACATGGCCCAGGGTGGCACTGCTGCTCTGCCCCTGGTTTGGGCTGATGGTTATCTCCCCCACTCCAGCTTGATAATCCAAGCAACAAAGCACAGGCCAAACACCTCTGCATCTCGTTACCTGCTGGTTGTAAAGGTCTTCTTCTCCATAGTCTGCTTCATCCTCTTCCTCTTCATTCTCTCTCATGACTACTGACTTAGTAACACTTCTCACTGCAACCTCCTGCACAGAATGACAGACAAGGAGATGGTCAGGAGGCTTTAGCTATCCCTTAGGGTTCTGCTCTACCATCAATATAACACCCCTATTCAATCTGGGAGGGTTTAAAGCAATTTGCCCTAATTTAACATCAGCTGGGCAAGCAACTACTGCTAATACCCTGCAAACCACATCATTCCTGTTTCTGTGCACTGACACCCACGGGAATGGGATTTAGCTGCAGGAATTCTGTCGTTCCCCTGGATTTGAGAGGAACTGGATGTGCTTCAGGTGATCAACAGTCAATTCACACGAGGTCACAGCAGGCCCAGGAAGGAGCTGTGGAATGGGAAAGACTAAACTTCCTCAGGATGATGATCACACAGCACCAAGCATATCCCCAATATTCAATACCTATTGTGTATCTCCCACACCAGAGAGAATCCTAAAATCCATCTTCAACACTTCCTAGGAGGAAGAAATTCTTCTGTCCACCTGCACCCCAGAAATCACAGGTGCAGGTTTCTAGCTGTGGAAAAAGTTGCCCTTAACATACACTTCTCAGCAGGGACATCAGGACAGTGCAGAACACACCAGGAACTCTGCCAAATGAGACCTTAGGATGTGCTTCCAACAGGGAAAGGACATCTTCCTGTATTGAAAATGGCACTGCTCCCCAGAGTGTTGTGGGGACCGTAAAATGGAGCTCTGACTTGCCAGTGATGCTTATTTGTCTCCTCTGGAAGGACAGACCCAAACTCCAAACAAACTCTCTGCTAGCACAGTGTTCAAACTCCAGATTCTCCCCGGCAGAGTTTTTTTCTAACACAGGAAAAAAGCCCATGGGTGTAATCATGATGATAGTGAGTTTTCAAATACATCCCCAGCACCTCAGAGCTCTGCACAGACAGGGAATTATCTCAGTGCCACAAACTGTCCTACAGCAGGAGGCAGTGGGAGCTGTGGAATCAAGGTTTCCTCATGGGGGCACATCCCCCAGCCCCAGAGAGGAGGGTCTGGGGTCAGCCCAGGCACACTGACCTCTCCCTCAGAGTTCACCAGGTACGTGCGGATGTTCCCTCCAGTGCCCCAGCTGCCTTGGGTCTTCCACACCAGCACAGAGGGAGGGCTGTGAGCCACCCCTGCATCTGCACCCCAGATCTAGGGAGAAAACCAGGCTGCAGTTAGCTGCTCATGCACATTTCACTGTGAGACATACAGATCCTCCCAATTCTCCTCTTCTCTCCATGTACCAGAGTTGCTCTGGACTCCAGTGGCAGTTTTACCCTACTGATAACTACACCTTGACTTGTAGGAAGATATTGCTGTCAGTCTGGAGCAAAAAGGGAACAGTAGCCAAAAAATGCATTCCCATTCCATTTAAATAAAAAATAAAAAAGATGAAAGAATGTAGTATTTCAGTCACCAGTTCTTTTCTGACTGCACAAATTTCTCCTACCATTGCCTAGGTGACTGTACAAACTACACTACACAAACAGTGTCTGGAGCTGAAGCAAAAAGCAGTTTGTAGTGTTATCAGCTTCACCTTTTACTGAACCTGTGTTGATACTTCAGTAGAAACAGCTACTTGAGTAGGAATAGTTGATACTTAAGTAGAAAGGGAGGTGATTAGAAACATTGCTTTCTTCTCAAAGAGCATCTCTTGCAGACTGAAAACAAACCACAGAATTATCAAACAGCAGCTCTTTTACAGCTAAGGCTAAGAATCACAGAGGATCTTGTCTGGAACTGTGGTCTGCTAAAGTGAAGGAATGCTCTGAAATGTCCCCATTTCTCTCAGAACCTGAGCAGGGTTAGTGCTCCAAACCTGGCAAAGGGGTTTGGAGATAAACAGCCCTTGACCCATCCCCCCAAAACACCTTTTTCTTCAACTCGGTGCCCCAAAATGGTCTTAAATAGTGAAGTGCTGATATAGAAATTGAATTTCTGTCCTGCCTTTTTAGAGCTGAAGTTCTGCTCCTCTACAGTGAGATCCATGAAACAAAAGTTACACACCAGATCAAACTTCAAGAGTTCCAACTGCCACAGCACCAACACAGGAACATGTTGACATACTGTAAGTCCAACTTACTGTTACAGTCTGCCCAGCTCTGAGGACATACTTAGGAGTAAATTTGTAAGCAATTTCTTCTCCATCTCCAATTTGTCTTTTCAGTCTCCAGTTACCCAAAGACTGATCCTAATGGAGAGAGTCAGAAGGTTATTTGGAGTGAGCACAGCAGAGCAAACAGCATCAGAGATTTCTCTAGGTCTGTTACTAAAATAATGTGAACACAAATTTATTTCCATGGTCGTCAGACATCAGCAATTCTACCTTGAGAGTGTTTTTCTATACTCCTAGAATCATGGTATGTTAAGGGGTTGGGATGAAGCTTAGAAATTATTCAGCCCCAACCCCTGCCCTGGGCAGGGACACCTCCCACCAGAGCAGTTGCTCAAGGCTTTAGCCAACCTGGCTGTGAACACTGCCAGGGTTGGGGCAGCCACAGCCTCCCTGGGCAACCTGTGCCAGGGTCTCACCACCCTCACAGGGAAAACTTCTGCCTAACATCTAACCTACATTCCCCTCACCAACAGTCCCAAGTGTAAATCCCCTAAGGTCACTCAGCACAATTTTACACCACACCCATCTCACAGCACACAGTCCTGCTGACAGGAGGCTGCTCCCATGAGCCATGTCCCAGCACACCTTGACACATCTGGGGCAGCAAACATCACACTCATGCACAGCATAAGGCCCAACTTTCCAAAGGTAATTCCTGCAGGTGCTGCACAGAGCTGTGCAACACCTCCATTAGCTCCTTGTTTCCCACCCATCCTGCTGACGCTCACCTTGTCCGAGTTGTTCTTCAGCTGAACGTATTTGCCCTCCAGGTCGATCTCTTCTATGCTGATGCTCCCTGTAGCTGAGGCTTGCTGGGACATTTGGAAGCTGCTGCTGCTGCTGCTGCCACTGATGCTCCCAGTGCCAATGCCACTTGTGCCACTGCCAGAGAGCTCCTCTGCTTCGATGCGTTTCCTCTTGCCCCGGGAGGAGCGGATGAGGGAGCTGCTGCTGCTGCTGCTGGAGGTGGCCCTGGACACTGTGACACGGGAGGAGGGACTGGGAGACAGCTTCAATCTGAAGACAAGCAAAACAGCATCTTAGTTAACTCAGAGAACTACAGACAGAGCTCCAACACCCTCAGTAAGCAGAGCAGTGCAGCCCAAGGCTGGCAGTAGGCTCATGCTGTGTGTGAGCAGGGGGTGCCCATCCCTGAGGAATGCTCTGGCAGAAGGACAGGGCACATGGAAAGCTAAGGAGAGTAACATAGATCACTTAACCCTCCCCTCAAGCCACATGACTTAAAACCAGGGAAACACAGAAGTACAAGCACTTAGCTACAAAGAGGAGGTGAAGAGCAAGCTCAGAGTGATGCTCTGTACTCTGAGAGGGACTCTGGGTTAGGAACTGCAGGGACAGGACAAGGAGCAATGGGGAGAAATGGAAAGAGGGAAATTGAGATTAGATCTTAGGCAGAAGTTTTCCCTGTGAGGGTGGTGAGACACTGGCACAGGGTGCCCAGGGAGGCTGTGGCTGCCCCAACCCTGGCAGTGTTCACAGCCAGACTGGATGAGCCTTGAGCAACTGCTCTGGTGGGAGGTGTCCCTGCCCAGGGCAGGGGTTGGGGCTGGGTCATCTCTAAGCTCCATCCCAACCCCTAAACATGCTATGACTCCATGAGAACAAGTGTTACATGTAAGTGTTCCCAAACAACAAACGATGGTGTGAATCCAACACAACGGCAGTGAAAGACAATCTGGG